GAGTTTTTTTTTTTAGATTACCGTGAGTGTCCGGACCAGCTTGCGCGCACCACGACTAATCCCACAGGCCCTAAAGTTAACGACCATGTAAGCCTCCAGTGGCCATCATATGAGCAACCAAGAACTCGAACCTGAGACCACAGAGGAAGCAAACCCCTTGATCCCAAGTCCTTACCACTAGATGGTTTTGTTAAGAGTTTTTTAATAGTACTGAGAATGTCATTATTTTTTATGATACCAATAATGTCATTACAGCGTTCGCCAGTTTTTTTTTTTCTTTTTTTTTAAATTGGCAAGCTCCTGGAAATGTGAAAAATTTATCTTGGTGCAGGACTTGATGTCTAATTTATTCAAAGCAAAGGTCCTATACATTGATTGACACCCAAAAGGCCCTAGACCTAGACGGAGAAGAAAAATTTGGGGGGGAAAGGGAATCCCCCCCTGCACAATACAAGTGTTTCAAAATGTATTTCAATTCTACAGATTTAAATAACTGTGATTCACTAATAAATAACTGTCATACAATGATAAATTGTACAGATTTATATCAAACCTAATCAGTGTAGTCGTTATGGTAGTGTACGCGACACTCGACCTTCTAGTGACCATTAGAATTGGCAGGATCAAGCCCCGCTGTCCTAAAATATGCCCTTTCTGCACTGGCCAGCCGGTTCTGAAACATAGTCCACTCCTTCCTGCACCTCTCCTTTACCTGGCACCAGCAGAGAAAGTTACCATATTTGATAAACAGACCAGTTTGCTCTGGTTTGGACGAGCAAATCTGAATTTCTCTAAGTGAATTTGTTAGTCTGGAAAACACAGACACTAAGAGAGACGAAAAGGTGAAAGATGTTCTTGTACTTCTGTACGGTCACTCAACGACACAATGTGGAGCATTTGGATGGTTATAAATTATAATAGCAAGCGACACTGGACGATGAAATGCAAACAAAATGAAATGAAAAAGAATACTGATGATGATAGAAATATTCGCCTACCCCTTGCCACGGTTTCTTCCCGTTTTGTGACTCGCCCTGGAGAAGCAATCAAGCGATGATAAGTATTTCATTCCGGCATGTATTTGGAGTTTATAAGCAATGATAAGTATTTCATTCCGGCATGTATTTGGAGTTTATACTCAGGTTAAAACAGAGGAAATTCATTGAGGCTGGTCATATCCATTTACCTGGTTCCCAAGAGAGGGAATAGTTTGATGAACAATCCACTGAGAATCTACAACTCCTATCTTCTCATGGGCAGGCTGTTTTTTAAAGAGAAATTTAATTAAAGAGTTTCATGTTGATGTCATCAATAAGAAATCAAAATAAAGAAGAAATAAATGAGGATGGAAGTATGTCAGCTACCTCTATACATTTTCTAAGAGCAAAATCAAGACCCCAACCATGGACCAAGTCATTCTGCAAATTCCATAATGCAATCAAACTCTAGTGCCATATACTAAGGGAGAAAGAGTTAAGGAAAGGATTCTTAAAAGTGATAAAGTGAGAAACTGTAGCACAGCAATCCATACCTGAATCATATGCCACACACAGCGCCAAGCATCTCGTGAAAACACCGGAGCCATGATTTCAACAAACCTGAGTCCAGAAGAAGATAATCTCTTTTAAGCCTTTTTACAAAATAGTCAAATAAAGAACTAAAGAGCCAGGGCATAAAACAACAATAACAAAATCAATAGTTAAAGAAGCCCATACGCTGCACAAGGTGGTAGATGTGGGTCAGTGCACCAGCCTGGTTTCTCATCTGTTATCCTGATAGAAATTCAGGCAAAGGGATAAAACCGTTAGTTCATAAATAAATCATAATTCCATATCTGTTTTCTATAAAATATATATATATGAATCGACTAATAATCATTCCTTGAAAAAAATATATGAGCATTTCATCATTCTTTTTCCTTTTTTTTTTCTTTTATAACTTTCCGGGGCAGAATTCCATCATTCTTACTTGTGAACTTCACTATCACCTCTTCTCTTTGTCATCTGCCATGTTAACCCTTTGTTAGGTTCCAGGCCAGGCTGTGAAATCTCCAAGCCATGCTTCTTCACTAGTTTTATATATCTAAAAGTGTACAAGAAAGTGCGGCAAAGCTTTTAGTCTAGTGAGCTAGCATAAGCATAAAAGAACTATTTTATATCTAACACTTACTGTTCTGCATTGAAATGCTCTACTCCCAGGTCCTCATCCCAGATAAATATGTAGTCATACGGTGCCACGATATCAGGATGTAAAAACCTCTTAGCATACCACCTAGAAAAAAATTCAGAGCTTAAACTTATGAGCATTGGTCAAATAAAGACTAAGGGCATGAGTTAAAAGGGATTTTTTTCCCTTTGTGATAGTCAATGGGGGACTTTAAATTTGTGAGCTTACATTTTTAAATAGAAATCAGCAATAGCTACTCACCATTTAGTCTGTTTCCGGGCACTCACATGAATGGCACTCTTTGACCACTCAAATTCATCCCATTCAGAAACTCGCCCGTCATAATGGAATAGAAGGATAGTGAAGTTCTTTGAAAACTGTGAGAGAGACAAAGTTATTCACATGCTCATACAGATCACCATGAGCTCATAAACATGCACACACCACACAGGACTGACCTTTTTAACACATGCATCAATATTCTTTCTCTGATCGTAGCCAACAGTGAAGGTTACAAGATATCTAGGTGCACTGGTCAAATCCTGCAAATGCAACTTGATCAAATATCTCAAAATTGCAATTAAAGACTACTACACCACCACTACTCTTATTTGAGGATGTTTAGCCTGTTATTATAATTAAACAGCGGAGGATATTGTTTCATGAAAAGAATAAAATCAACAAAAGTAAACAGCAGGGATTCTAATCATAAACAATATCATTTAATGGATTCTAGAGCATAAAATTGGCTTTGTGGGGGGAAAAAGGAAAAGAAGGGAGACAATAGTCTTGCCCCTCCTAAGTTTTCTTAAGAATAATGGTATGTGTGATAGCAGTCAGCTAGTTGCTTCAATTCAATGTTATGTATCCACTTGAATGAAGATTTCATAAGTTGCTATTCTGAATTTCTAAAATATAACTTGGCCTCAGCATATTTTAATTCCTTTTTTCCATTGAAAGCGTCTTAGGCAAAGGATCTAGAGATAGCTCTTCATTGCAATCACCCCCTTTCATTTCTCTTTCTTTTTTTAAGGGTCATAGTACCATTGTAGCTCTATTAAATGCAACATTTTCCAGGTAACTCCCTTATCTTAACAATAAAATCAGTATGTACAATTTTACAAGTGAACTAAGATTGTCATCATCAAACTTAATCACAACTGTAGCATCATTCAAAACCAAAAGAGCAGTCTGTACATTCCACAGCTAGGCCAAACGAGTATGCACTAGAAAATTGCATGTAGCAAATGAAGGAGCTAAAGGTTGAATATTACATAAAAAAGAGGTTGTAGAATGCTCACCTCTTTGGGATCACCCCACAATCTTCGTAAATAGTAGTCTGACTCGGCAACAACAAATCCTGGTGGTAGTCTTTCTGCACCACGGGGATTTGAAGGGACCCAAATCTGTGTATAGTACAAGGCAAAAGCACAAGGTAACAATGAAAATTTAGAATGAGCACATATATTACTTTAGTTTTTCCATATATCTTATTCAAGTTATGCAAACATCATCTGACAACAAAAATTATATTTTGCAGGAGAATTTGCATCTAACGGATCTAAAATAGTATACAACAGTTGTACCTATGTTGCTCAAACTTGGATAGAGTCAAATACAAGTCCATGTTCACATGCGTCAGTTCAGTTTTTTTTTTTTTTTTTATCTGAGTTCTTGCTTCTAATTAAGAGATCATATTGAACACTTAAGTATCCATGTTTGTTTGAGGAGTTCAATATTCATTCAACGCAAGTAATACAGCTCATACTATTCAGAGTTTTGTGATAATATATTGTTCACACTGCAAATGAGATAAACATAATGAATATACCCAAGATATGGTTACCACAAGGAATATGCTCTTTAAAAACCATGATACGGGCGCCTGTATGTAGCCACATCATTTATCTTAAAAGCACATAACATGTGTTGCTCCAGCACAGGTACGGATGTCAGAAACTTAATTACAAACCCAATTAGACAACACAAATACATTTTTATTTTAACATTTTCCCATATATTTGAAGGATTGCAACCAAGCATCCATGTCCATTCATGTCCAGAATGAGAATAAAAGTCGAGCCAACAAAGTACAAAACATTGCAACATGTTTTGTTTGGAGCTAGGTGATAGTTCAATAACTCAATGCTAGTTAAAACTTAAAACAAAATTAGAGCTAATTCCTGATGTGATCCCAGATGCACAGTTTTTGTTTTTATTTTCAAAATTTTGATCAACTACATCCTCCATCTTGTACCGAAAGCATCATGCAAGGGATCTCTGTATAATGATGTTAAGATTCCAGAAAGGAGGCATACCTTGGATTTATCTTTTGAATTTGGTGCTTGCATTGAGCTACTATTGTTGCCCTTCATAGAAGACCAAGGGCTCAAAACGGTTTTAGATCCCGGTTTGTCCTCGCTGTATGCCAAATCAATGACAGGAAAGAAGCCCGATGACTTATTTGACTGCCAAAATTCAGAGACCACATAAATGTTATATAAACTTAACTAAAAGAAAGCATCTAAACTAGATAATATAGTCATCCATATAATACGAAAAAAAGAGAACACAAACAAAAGAAAAGAATGAAAAAATCACACAAAGCACTTTAAAAATTGTATACCTTAGTCAATGACAAGGTCGGAAAAGATACTCCTATCAAAAAGCCAAAAACTACTCCCAGAAATGTAGTTAAGAGTATCCTCATGGTCTCATTTGGTTTTCTACTACCAGTACTGCAACACAACATATGCAAATATTTCATTGGTAAAGATGGCATGAAATTTAAACCTAAGAAAAAATTGTCCAAAGAAGAGACTATAAATATATACATATATATATATAAACCATCAGAAGTCTGAACCTGAGTGCAAGGATTCCCATTGTGTTTACAACTCCAGATCAAATTAATGACTAGAAATACGAATCTAAATGTATCAAGGGAGAGAGCTGTCTGCTTACAAGGAGGTCAGAGGAACGCCAAACCTGATATGAATAGAACAGCAAAAAAGAAAAATCAGTCTTGAAGATTTTAAATTTGTTATTCCTACATAATGCAAAACTAACCACAGCATTAATTATGATTATTTTAAATACCAGCAGATGGTAATCCTGCCCTAAAGTGACAACGGAAAAGAAAAGGGAAACAAAAATCGCCAGGAAACAGAGCTAAAGAGCGCCTCGAAACTTCTCCTTCCCAAACCACATCTCAAGTCAATCCAGACTTGTTGAATTTATCATACACACGAACTAGCCATGAAAACGCTTGAAAATCAAATCAAATAAACAAAAGCATGTGCTCCCTGCCTAAGATTTGGTTAAGCATGTGCTCCCTGCCTACGATTTGGTTAACTCCCTCAGCTTAGTACCTCCATTATCAAGCAATCCCCGTGCCTATTTTGACTAACAACTCCCAAACCTTACCCTTTTCTTTCCTAAAAAACAGTTGTGGTTGCTTAGATTCGAGGATAGAGAAGGAAACGACCAGAAACATAAACCAGACCTTGAAGTTAGCTGCTGTTTAAGAGTTCCATAAAACATCTATCACTGCAACTTGATATTATTAATGAAAAGAAAAATTAAGAGTGAATCCTTGCTCGATCAAAGCTAAATACGTAGTTTACTTCATTAAACTTGAATGAAAGCCGAAGCATTAAAAAAAAATAATGATTAAAATTGTGCAAGAGAAGAAACGCACATGAAAAGTAAAGAGATAGATCGGGCAAAACAGAAAGCGTAGAAGAAATCTCGAGTTCTTCTCGGAACTGAAATGAAGAAAACTCGTGATCGCCTCCCTGCTCCTCCCTAAATATATATAAATATAAAACGCAGAGGAGAAGAGAGAGATGAGATTGATTTATGTTTGTTTTGGTTGCGTTTTACAGGTGAAGCAGTAGCTAAGAAGCAACAAGATCGTGTAAGAGGGATTGGTATGGATAGAAAAGAAACTAGGAGAGGCTGGGTAATGGAAGAAGCGTAGATTTGAATAAATCTAATCTCACTTTGCCTTCTCCTCCTTATTTTTTCTTCCTGTAGCTGCCTGTGCTATGCTGCTTCTCCAAAGCTAATTTGTTTTGGATTTCAGTTAAATTAAATTTAATTAATTCCTTATATATATCTATATGTATATATGTATATGTATATATATGTATATATGAATAATATGAAAACCGACTACCTTTTGGTCAAATGATGGTAACCCTTCGTTGTTGGTGCCTCGTTTGGAAGTACGGTCATAATTATTTTTTAAAATATTTAAATATATATATATAATATTTTTTTATTAAAATAATCTAAAAATATTTAAAAAAAAAATTAAATAAAAATATATATATTTCAAAACGTAATTTCAACCGGCCTTTTAATAGTTTTTTAGATTTTAATTGGGATTTTTTAAGGAAAGAAAGAGTATTGATGATTATTAAATTATAACTCTCCGATTAATTGATATGTGATTTTTTCTGTAATAGTTTCTTTCATATGATATATGCTATTTTTTTATAATAATTTTTTTTCATATTGCAAAGGAGAAAAATAAATAAATTTGCTAATATTTTATAATGTTATCAAGATTTTATCATTGTCTCTGTTGCTCAATGTCTCTTCCATGCTCCTCACAAACTCTATCCATTTTTATAATATTAATTATGATAACCCAAATAAAATCTATACCCAACACAAACTTTGCACCTCCTGTTGTTAATACAAATAAATGAAACTATATGTTAAATATCTATTTCTAACAATATTTTATTATAATCTTATTTGCTGTTTGTTGGGAAAAAATAGTAGAAAGAAATAATATTAATAGAAAGTTATTGGATTAAGAATAATCACATTACATAATAAATAATTAGATTTTTTATTCATTAACAATATGGTTTTGACACCCTTACTCTATATATTAAATAATATATAAAGTTTGGATGTAACTCTTTATCTTTTGACCTTTTATAATCTTATTAATATAAATAATATTAACATAGATCACATGAAATCACATTAAATAATTCCATAATAAACATTTTAATCATACTTCAGATGAAAAGGCAATCACATACTGTAAACATTTTAATTTTATAATAACCCATATTTAATCACATTAAATAATAAATAAGTAAATAGGTTTGGGATAATTATTTTCTATTAATAATTTTAGAATAAAAATTGTAAAAAAAAGAAGGTATTTCAAATGAAATCAGTATAATAAACATTTTAATTATACTTCAAATGAAAAGGTAAATTTTGGAGCAGAAATAATAATTATAAAATGAAAGTAGCATTATTAGAAATTAATCACAAAAAACGAGTTCCAAACGATGAAATACCTGGCTATAATAAATAAATAATAATAAAAAAAAAAACCCATTCTATGTTGAAAGGTTGCGTTACTCGTGATCGTGTTCGTCGTGTGCATTCCATGAGCGTAAATCTTTGAACGGCACGAGTCTTGTACACCTGTTTTAATTTCATGTAAAATATTTTCGAATCATTTCTTGCCATTTGTCATCACTTTGATTTTTTTAAGTGGCTATTTTAATGTTAAAGTAATTGTTTTTCTAATTAAATTTTAAAACATATAATTTATATTCAAATTATCGTATCTATATATAAAAAAGATTCATGTGCTTACTAAGGACAGTGCGAGTCCTGAATTATTTTTAAATGGTAACTTGAAGATTCAAATTCCTTCTCTCGACTGCTGTGTAGGATGTTGTTGTTTTTTTATGTTTTTGTATTTTAAAAAATTTTAATTTTTTTATTTAATATTTTTAAATCATTTTAATATATAAATATAAAAAATAATTTAAAAAAAATTAAAAGGTATCCTGTTTTCTCGCTTCCGAAACTCTTTTTAATTATAAGGTCAAGGGCTCCGGGGCCATGTCTCTAACGTTCAAATACAGCGGCTGCGAATTACTTGTTGTTTCTCCTCGTCGACCCACTACCCTTTTCCATGATAAACAAATAAATAAAAAATTAAAGTGGGTGAAGATCCACTAAGTAAATATAAACCAATCTTCTTCTTTTTTTTCAGAATTCGGCATTCATTCTTTTTTTGGTACTTTTTAAATTTTTATACCAAATCATTTGTTATTTAATAAAGCGAGTGCATGTTTTTTTTCTCCAAGTTTTATTGTTTGGATATCTTGGATCAGGTTTTTAATTTTTTTTATTTTAAATTAATATTTTTTAAATTTTTTTTATGTGCTAATATCAAAAATATTTTTTAAAAAATAAAAAATATCATTGATATATATTGATATATTATATATATATATATTATGAAAAGTTATTTAAAAAATAACTGTAATTATATATTATATTATTATTTTAAAAAAAATAAAAATAAAATAAAATATAGAAAACAATTTAAGAAAACACACTTGCTCCCTAAGCTTAGAAATATTAAAAAGTATTCTTTGAAGCGCACCTTTCGTAACACACAATTTTCTATATTGGGTGGACTGATAATATATTTGATTATGTGGCTGGTGTTGATTGTTTTTCAAAAATATATTAAAATGATTTTATTTTTTTATTTTTAATATTAAAATTAATAAAAACATTAAAAAACTAATTTAATATTTTAAATTAGAAACATTTTAAAAAGCTGAAGCTAAATATTATCTTTTCACCTAATAAGATCTGTTCACCTAACAACATCCCTAAAGTTTTTTATTGATATATTTTAAAAAAATATTATTTTTAACAATAACATTTCAAAATAATTTTAAAAAACTAAAAAATTTCAAATTTGAAGCCCACGCTGTTAGGCCGCCAAAGGGGCCCAATGAAATTAATCCAAGGACCTGACCTGCCACGTGATCAGACGGGTGTCAGATTTAAGCTTTGTGGCTGACTCCAAAGTCGGTCAACAAAAATTATCTTGCAGCTCCATCAACAAATGAGAAAAGAAGGGAGCGAAATGGAGGCATTAGCTAAAGAGATTCGGGCAACCAAGGAGAGTGCGGTCCTAGTGGAGCTGAAGCTGAAAGTTCTTGATTTTCATGTTGTGGCCAAACAGGACATTAACAAATGTGCCCACGTGGCCAGATCACCGCACTTGGTTTACAACACCATCGAATTCTTTTTATTTTTATTTTTGTTATTTATCTTGGGTGGTGCTTCTGTTTCTTTGTTTTTTTTGGGTAAATTCTTAACGTTCGGGACAATCTACATGAAGTAAAGATAACTCCGTAACAGTTATTTTTAAAATTATTTTTATTTAAAAAAATTATTTTTAATATTAGTATATCAAAACATTTAAAAACATTAAAAAGAATAATTTAAGGAAAAAATAATAAAATAAATTCAATATTTTTTAAATATTTTAAAAACATGGCATATTCATTGATTGGATAGTATTTTAGGCCGAAGCTTCTTCTTGTTTCAATCAAAGGCCATACTGTTTTCATTAAAGACAACGTATATGTGATTGTAAATAGAGTTTTGAGCTCCAAGATCTTATGAGAGTATCCTTCCCAACTCTCTTCTCCTCTCATGAAAAACACTCCTTGATAACTCCTGTATCTTTACTGTTCTTCCACCCTCTCATTTCCTCCCTTTCAGCATAAGAACCTTCTTTGTTTTACACACCGACAGGCAGCTAGCCTCTGACTAGCGAAAACATCGACGAGTCTGCAGCGAAGATCTGGATTTCATCCCACGCCACTCATGATGCCAAAGTGAATTGGGAGAGATAGGTGTTAGGTATGGTTGATTTAGCTTGTACGTGAAAAGGGCAGATGGGGTTTCGTAAAGAAGAGTTTATTGGCTACAAATTGTAATTTGATGGAGGGCAATTCTTAGGTGCAAGGCCATTGAGCACAGAGGTA